GCCGGTTTCAAGTTCATGTCGACTAAGACTTTTTGCTCGATGGTACCCATGTAGAAGTTTGCAAACAGGACATCTAGGGGAGAACCCATGGCGACCCCATCTACTTGCTTATACATGTGCCCATCCGGGCTCAAGAAGGGTGCCTCTTTAGTACAAGCTTGGAGTAGTTTCCTCAGAATATTTTCTGGTATGTCAAGAGGAGTACAGGCTGGATCACGATACACTCTGTCGGCTATCATTCCGATTGTCTCGTCCACAGGTACGTTGGTTACCAACGTATATATATATATATATATATATATATATATATATATATATATATATATATATATATATATATATATATATATATATATATATATATATATATATATGTCGTACCTAGTAGCCAGAACTCACTTCTCAGCCTACTATTCATGGCCCGATTTGCCTAATAAGCCAAGTTTTCCTGAATTAATATATTTACTATAATTTTTGTATTATGAAATGATAAAGCAACCCTTTTCTCTATGTATGAGGTCAATTTTTTTTTATTGGAGTTAAAATTAACGTAGATATTTGACCGAACCTAACCAACCCTACCTAACCTAACCTAACCTATATTTATAGGTAAGGTTAGGTTAGGTAGCCAAAAAAAGCTAGGTTAGGTTAGGTTAGGTAGGTTAGGTAGACGAAAAAACATTAATTCATGAAAACTTGGCTTATTAGGCTAATCGGGCCTTGAATAGTAGGCTGAGAAGTGCGTTCTGGCTACTAGGTACGACATATATATATATAATATATATATATATATATATATATATGTCGTACCTAGTAGCCAGAACTCACTTCTCAGCCTACTATTCAAGGCCCGATTTGCCTAATAAGCCAAGTTTTCCTGAATTAATATATTTACTATAATTTTTTTCTTATGAAATGATAAAGCAACCCTTTTCTCTATGTATGAGGTCATTTTTTTTACTGGAGTTAAAATTAACGTAGATATATGACCGAACCTAACCAACCCTACCTAACCTAACCTAACCTATATTTCTAGGTAAGGTTAGGTTAGGTAGCCAAAAAAAGCTAGGTTAGGTTAGGTTAGGTAGGTTAGGTAGACGAAAAAACATTAATTCATGAAAACTTGGCTTATTAGGCAAATCGGGCCTTGAATAGTAGGCTGAGAAGTGAGTTCTGGCTACTAGGTACGACATATATATATATATATATATATATATATATATATATATATATATATATATATATATATATATATATATATATATATATATATATATATATATATATATATATGTCGTACCTAGTAGCCAGAATGCACTTCTCGGCCTACTATGCGAGGCCCGATTTGCCTAATAAGCCAAGTTTTCCTGAATTAATATTTTTTCTCTAATTTTTTTCTTATGAAATGATAAAGCTACCCATTTCATTATGTATGAGGTCAATCTTTTTTTATTGGAGTTAAAATTAACGTAGATATATGACCGAACCTAACCAACCCTACCTAACCTAACCTAACCTATCTTTATAGGTTAGGTTACCTAACCTATCTTTATAGGTTAGGTTAGGTTAGGTAGCCGAAAAAGTTAGGTTAGGTTAGGTTAGGTAGGTTAGGTAGTCGAAAAACAATTAATTCATGAAAACTTGGATTATTAGGCAAATCGGGCCTTGCATAGTAGGCTGAGAATTGCGTTCTGGCTACTAGGTACGACATATATATATATATATATATATATATATATATATATATATATATATATATATATATATATATATATATATATATATATATATATATATATGTCGTACCTAGTAGCCAGAACGCACTTCTCAGCCTACTATGAAAGGCCCGATTTGCCTAATAAGCCAAATTTTCATGAATTATTATATTTTCTCATTTTTTTTTCTTATGAAATGATAAATCTACCCATTTCATTATGTATGAGGTCAATTTTTTTTAATTGGAGTAAAAATTAACGTAGATATATGACCGAACCTAACCAACCGTACCTAACCTAACCTAACCTATCTTTATAGGTTAGGTTAGGTTAGGTAGCCGAAAAAGTTAGGTTAGGTTAGGTTAGGTAGTCGAAAAAACATTAATTCATGAAAACTTGGCTTATTAGGCAAATCGGGCCTTGCATAGTAGGCTGAGAAGTGCTTTCTAGCTACTAGGTACGACATATATATATATATATATATATATATATATATATATATATATATATATATATATTATATATATATATTATATGCGAACAAAGCCTGAATGGTCCCCAGGACAATATGCAACTGAAAACTCACACCCCAGAAGTGACTCGAACCCATACTCCCAGAAGCAACGCAACTGGTATGTACAAGACGCCTTAATCCATTTGACCATCACGACCGGACAAAATGAGGTGATAGCCGAGGCTATTTGAACCACCCCACCGCCGGCACTCGGATAGTTATCTTGGGCATAGCATTTTACCAAATCACCTCATTCTTTGGGGCACACGTGAGGAACACAAATGCGAACAAGCCTGAATGGTCCCCAGGACAATATGCAACTGAAAACTCACACCCCAGAAGTGACTCGAACCCATACTCCCAGAAGCAACGCAACTGGTATGTACAAGACGCCTTAATCCACTTGACCATCACGACCGGACAAAATGAGGTGATAGCCGAGGCTATTTGAACCACCCCACCGCCGGCACTCGGATAGTTATCTTGGGCATAGCATTTTACCAAATCACCTCATTCTTTGGGGCACACGTGAGGAACACAAATGCGAACAAGCCTGAATGGTCCCCAGGACAATATGCAACTGAAAACTCACACCCCAGAAGTGACTCGAACCCATACTCCCAGAAGCAACGCAACTGGTATGTACAAGACGCCTTAATCCACTTGACCATCACGACCGGACAAAATGAGGTGATAGCCGAGGCTATTTGAACCACCCCACCGCCGGCACTCGGATAGTTATCTTGGGCATAGCATTTTACCAAATCACCTCATTCTTTGGGGCACACGTGAGGAACACAAATGCGAACAAGCCTGAATGGTCCCCAGGACAATATGCAACTGAAAACTCACACCCCAGAAGTGACTCGAACCCATACTCCCACAAGCAACGCAACTGGTATGTACAAGACGCCTTAATCCACTTGACCATCACGACCGGACAAAATGAGGTGATAGCCGAGGCTATTTGAACCACCCCACCGCCGGCACTCGGATAGTTATCTTGGGTTATATATATATATATATATATATATATATATATATATATATATATATATATATATATATATATATATATATATATATATATATATATATATACAAGACGATAGTTCGTCTTGTACATACCAGTTGCGTTGCTTCTGGGAGTATGGGTTCGAGTCACTTCTGGGGTGTGAGTTTTCAGTTGCATATTGTCCTGGGGACCATTCAGGCTTGTTCGCATTTGTGTTCCTCACATGTGCCCCAAAGAATGAGGTGATTTGGTAAAATGCTATGCCCAAGATAACTATCCGAGTGCCGGCGGTGGGGTGGTTCAAATAGCCTCGGCTATCACCTCATTTTGTCCGGTCGTGATGGTCAAGTGGATTAAGGCGTCTTGTACATACCAGTTGCGTTGCTTCTGGAAGTATGGGTTCGAGTCACTTCTGGGGTGTGAGTTTTCAGTTGCATATTGTCCTGGGGACCATTCAGGCTTGTTCGCATTTGTGTTCCTCACGTGTGCCCCAAAGAATGAGGTGATTTGGTAAAATGCTATGCCCAAGATAACTATCCGAGTGCCGGCGGTGGGGTGGTTCAAATAGCCTCGGCTATCACCTCATTTTGTCCGGTCGTGATGGTCAAGTGGATTAAGGCGTCTTGTACATACCAGTTGCGTTGCTTCTGGGAGTATGGGTTCGAGTCACTTCTGGGGTGTGAGTTTTCAGTTATATATATATATATATATATATATATATATATATATTATATATATGTCGTACCTAGTAGCCAGAACTCACTTTTCAGCCTACAATGCAAGGCCCGATTTGCCTAATAAGCCAAGTTTTCATGAATTAATATATTTTCTCTATTTTTTTCTTGAGATAAAGCTACCTAAAGATAAAGATAAATGATAAAGCTACCCATTTCATTATGTATGAGGTAAATTTTTTTTTATTGGAGTTAAAATTTATGTAGATATATGACCGAACCTAACCAACCCTACCTAACCTAACCTAACCTATCTTTATAGGTTAGGTTAGGTTAGGTAGCCGAAAAAGTTAGGTTAGGTTAGGTTAGGTAGGTTAGGTAGTCGAAAAGCAATTAATTCATGAAAACTTGGCTTATTAGGCAAATCGGGCCTTGCATAGTAGGCTCAGAAGTGAGTTCTGGCTACTAGGTACGACATATATATATATATATATATATATATATATATATATATATATATATATATATATATATATATATATATATATATATATATATATATATATATATATATATATATATATATATATATATATATATATATATATATATATATATATATATATATATATATATATATATATATATATATATATATATATATATATATATATATTGAGATTGAGATCTCAAAAAAAGCCGGCGTCTTGTCAAATGTCCCCCATTTGCAAGTAGCAAAATGCTACTTGCAACTTTTTGTTCCGAGTAGCTGAATCTAAAACAGCATATTTCTTTATTTGACTTGATAATGGTATATGCCATATTGAAATATCGTCACTTATTTTGATTTTAGATGTACGAATTGGATATTGGTTTTTGCCCGAAACGCTATATGCGTGCTAGTGGCTTTACTAGAATGTAAATTCAATTTAAATTCTATGTTCTCTGTTAAACCCCAATGTACCTTCATGTATATATATAAATAAATAAATAAATAAATAAATAAATAATCTATAAAATATTTACATTGACCCAAACTATAGTCATCAAAGAAAACGTAGAGTACGTGAAGTACCAGAAGCGAGCACGACAGTGATGCCGGTCCAAACCCAAACAATCTTGGGGTGGGCGCATCCGATCCCACGATCGTCGTCGCCCCTAAATCAACACAACAATCTTGGGCACGAGCTGGCTCCCTCAACCTTCCATTCTCTCACGTGCTGACTGAGTTCTTCTGTTCGTCGTCGCCCCTAAATCAACACAACAGTTCTTCTGTTCTAGTTCAACCTTAATGACAAGTGGACAATCCGCCTAGTGGAGAATGAAATATTTGATATAGAACTTTCAGAAAAACGTACAATTGTAACAAGTTAGTGCCTTCTGTGCAGTACTTTTGAGCTTGGAGTGGCCCCAGCAGTTAATCAATAAAAAAAATAAAAATGTTTATTGGGGTAAAAGTACATACATAGAAGATGAGTTACGAACATAATGTTGGATTTATAAGACTTAGTACGTAAAATACCCAAAGCCATTAATACGCACAGTGTTTCGGGCAAATGTGTGTTGGGTTTTAATGTGTAAGTTCGCCCAATTGCAGTACGTGGATTATCCTTGGTGAGAAATTTTTTAATAGGAATTATATATATGTCTGGCTAGTGATGATACACTTATGATAGGGATGGGCTATTGGACTGTGTAAGATTGGTCGAAAGCCCGAGTGATGTTACATTCATATTCATGCCTGGACTGAACCATCAGGCATCATTATAGGTGGAAGTCATAAAACCTTTAATTTCTTTCAAAGACAATGTCTTAGGTGGAATATTTGTTGTATTTGCTGCTGGCCCACTCAACTCTTGGTTCAGTTCACTTCAATGTGAGAATATAATACTGTATATTTTTGGGAGATCTTTAGTTATGAATGAGATTTCCCTTCATTACAGCACATAATTACAATATATACAATATCAAAGAATACAACACACTCCATACTGTATAGAAGTATGGCACATTAGTTAGATTACTACAGTATAAACTTGAGAAAATTGTAGTCTGTAAATTTACTAAAAATTGCATTCTGCTCCTCTGTTGCAATTGCTGCTACTAATTCAACATGTAATTATTCTCATTCTTCTACTTAAGTTCAGTTTATGCTTTTGATCTCAATTAGGCTTAGTTTATCATTTTTTTCCCCACATCTTGCCCGAAATGCTGTGTGCATTAGTGGCCTTAGGCATTGTATATATCAGCTCTGTCTAGTAATCCAACATTCAGTTTGTAACTCAATATGTATGTGTGTACTTTTACCAAAAATAAAAATGTACAGTATTTACTTGTTTATATGCAGTAGTTCAGTCTTTCAAGCTGCCATTGTTACTTTCAGGTGTGAGCCAAAAATATGATGTATTGTACACCCAAATCCTTGTCGTCTCCATACAAGCTCATAACTCGAGGTAAGATTAAAATTAGAAGAAAACTTTTTTAATGCGATAAATGCGATCAGGAATTATTTTATTCAACTGATCTGAATAAGTTCAAAATTGCGTTCATGTGCAGTGTACAAAATTATATTATTTCCGGAGAAAATCCTTAACCTGATGGAGATACTGAGAGTACTCATACCCTCAGTGGTATATTGGCATGTGATCGCACTAACAACAGTGTGCTCTGCCAGCCAAAATAACTCCTGACTCGAGGGAAGACAGTTAAAGACCGCTAGCTTACTGGAAGGATGAGGGCCACCACAAGCGAGGAGACCCCCTAAGGGAGTGAGCTCTGACCACTCCAGGGAAGAAAACTGGCAGTGCAAGAACAGCACTAAAGGAACACCCAAGAAAGAGAGCCTTGAGTGCATGCAGCCCCAAGGTGCACTTAACTCCTGACTCTCACTGCACTGAAGTTCAGGAATGGCTACAAATGCAAAACCCCACTTAGCTGAAAAACAGGACACTAGAGCCTGAACAAGAAAGAGGGCACCACACTGTCTACTATCAGCAAGAATTGAAAGGGGAGCAGCTTGCTAATCCGGTCTGCCTCCCTCCTTCCCCCCCCCCCCAAATGAGGGGGAAATGTGAGGTGTTTAAGCTTGAGCTAGTTTCATAACTTTTCAATTGTCTGTTTACATTGTTTTGGGAGTTCTTTTGGTGAGTTTGAGTTATCGATATTTCCTTATAACCAGCAGTGGTCTGTTTTATCTTGCTTACTTTGAGGGTGCTTTCCCTGTGCTTCCCCATGATTTAAATTCACTGACAATTTGATTATAGCGCCATTTCTCTCTGCGCCTCTTTGAAGGGGCCAGGTTTGGCTCGTGATCCTTGGTAGGCCTAAAAGAATTTTGCGACTAATGGCACTTAGTAGTTTGGAACTGTATCAGCATTGTAGCTTCATGAAGCCACCAGGGCTCATGAAACCTCGGTGGCTTCATGAATGTCAAATTGACATTCCATTGCATTTAGTGTTGGTATTTTGGATTTGTTCTGTTTGTGTGTAGGGATATATGCATCTAAGTCTGTTGCTGCATGTTAGGGATTAAACTTAAAGCCTGATTTTTTTTTTTTTCATATTTGTCCTTTTTATTTTTTTAATTTACAGAGTACATTTATTTAAATACATTGGATATACATTATTTGTTCAAAGATGTGTTCTGTCATTTGCAGTAAAGACGCTTCCAAGAAATTGGTGATGTATTGCAAATATGTAAAAAAATTTGATATACTAATAGAAACTTTGATTTGGAGGAATAGGTCTAGTTTCATTTGATATATTTTCTTGAGGTTAAATTGTGCAATATACATTTCAAATGTATATACAGCATATTATTTGTTTTTATTTTACATTCTCTAATGATTTTTTTAGTAAATAATTTCTTTTTTCAGTTTTGCAGGTGTCTAGTGGCTGTGGAAGTGCTAGACATTCTATAAGAGGGAAGAAAAGTAGATATCGACAGCCATTAGATCCTCAACATGCAGAAGAATTACCAGGTAGAAATATAATATATATTCATTATTTTTTGGACTGTATGTTCTTTAGGTTGTGAATTATGCATTATCCATGGGTTATGTCAAGGAGGTTGTAATAGGGAGTAAGTATGTACCCAAAATATTTGAATTTACTAGCTTGTCTAGTTGTGATGTGATGGGCTATTATCTAGAAATGACACCACTTTAATGTTATATGGCAGATGAACATATCTGAGGTCTTCTTAGCCTCATAAGCGCTGGACTGCCAACTATGCTAGTTTAGAATAATAATGACACGAGAACAAATGTCTGTTGCTGCATTTTGGCTTATGATGCATGATGCCATGTTAGCTCTTGAAGCTGAGCAAATGGCCTCCACAATGTACAGGACTGGAAAGCCACTCGGATCTGCCTTCGAGTGGATAGCCAAGCACTTGAGTTGACATTACAGACTGTTGTTGTGTTAACAGAAACATATGATAATAGATGGCACTCACTACGTGCAATGCAGCCTTGAGTGCTGGATCCCACATCTGAATGAGCAGAACCTCGAAGATCTTACTTAAGCTTACTCTACATTACACTCTTGTATAGTTCTCACTTGGTGACCAAGTCCCAAGGCACCACTTAAGATATGGAAGAACTTGTAGGAATTTCACCCTGGGGAGATATTTGTCTTTGAGAAGATAATTGTTCATAGATGATATTTATTAAAGAGCCTGCCAGGGAAGATACCCCCCTGTAACCATAGCTGAAGTATTCTGAATAAACCATGAGACACACAAGATAACTGGTAAACCCAGCTGCATCTTACCTTAGCTTCAACTAAGAGAATTAGCTAAGAAATTAGACCAATCTACTATTAAACTATATTCAAATATAAGTAAAAAACAGAGATAGGTTAATAATAGTGGTTTGAATATAAATTAAATTGTGATAAATTATTTAAATTAGTACAGTGTATTGTGTATTTAATTTTTTGAATGATCTTATATTTTTTCAGAGTTTGAATATGTTGGTGTACACTCTAGACCGGATACATTGATTTACACATGGGGAGTTGCAGATCATGGAGCCTTGGGGCGTGCTTCCCTTGTACGTCCAGAACATAAAAAAAAGCAGCATCACCTACACTATCTTCACCATCCACATAGGCTCGAATTTGGAGAATATTTTAAGGTACAGTACTAATATTCATTTCTCATTTTGTTCCTTTTACCTAAGGACTAATAATTTTTTCTGTCTGCTTAATATGAATAATGTTAGCAATGATCTTCAACTCAGGAAGTTTATATTGTATTGAAATTGTTCATAATAACTTGCATCTATTGTATTATTTTAACTCATCTGTGAGATTTCTATCATTATTATATTAAAGAGTTCCTAACTATTCTTACAGTATTGTATTAATAAAGTTATTAACCTTATTGATAATACACATCCTATTCTTACTCTAATATTAATTCCAGATCAATTAACTCTAATACTTGTTCACTCTCACACACATGCTCTGCTCTTTGTACTGGAATTTTATCTTGCTTGAAATGGTCTCTCTCAAACTTAAAATGTTCTAAGGATATTCCACAGCACATTTGCTTTGTGGAACCCCTAAGTGGTTCCTCAAGCTCTCTCTAGTATCTGTAGTACCAACAAGACTTACCTCACCACACTAGGAGCTAAATTCACGAAGCATCATGTATTTCTTCTTAAACTGCTGTATTGTAAAGATTTTTAGTACTGTAACTCTTTGAGAAGACCCCTTTGCAAGATGTTCTTATAAAATTATTTGGGGTTTGGTTTTGGTTCACCCTTCTCTATAGAGGCCACTACTACTTTTTACTTGACCATTCATCTTATCGTTTGTCTAATTACTGTACAGTGCCAACTCAGCTAGACAACTGACCAATCACATGTGTTTTATATCAACTGATATATTAACAGAAACGGTTTACATATTCACTGAGAGATTTATCCTGCTTCTTGGTATACCTAGGCCATTTTTGTGTACCTCCTATGTGACCCCCGGCTTGGATGGGGCTTTGTGGCCAGCGTTCACCAAGCCTGCCCATGTCATTGGTCTCCTTCGTCGGGTGTGCAGTATGGTTTGGGTGTATGTTGCATTGTGGCATGTGCTGTGGAGTGTTCGTATTCCTCCAGACTCTGTTGTCTGGCTCCTTTTGGATTGTTCTCCCTTGGCTCCTTGTTTCCCTGGGGGTATGTTCGCTTTGGTCCCTGCCTCTTCGGAGCTGAGTTTTACCTGTAGCTTGTCTGCTGGGTTCTTGGGGTTTAGTTCTCAGTGCTGATTACTTGCAGGGAGTGTCCAGCATCCTCCAGCATTGCCTGTCTTGGTTCCTTCTGTTTTTCCTGGGTTGACCATCGTAGCCACTCCTTCTGGAGGAGCATCTACCCTCACAGCCATGGTGTTGGTAACTACTGTCGAAGCTCTCCTTTCTGAACTAAATGGGAAGGACCCACTGTTGCATAAGCCAGACATTTGTATAAGCAGAATTCTTACAGGGGAAGTTCAAAAATTACCATTTTCGCAATTTTTTGTACCACAGCCACCATAACTCCACACACGCAATAAATTAAAAATATAATTTAAAAGAGAACCTTCAGCTTACCTTGTTGTAGTTTGTCTTCTTGTGTGATACTTGAAATGTGTAGCTCTGGAAAATTTACACAACCTAATTTCTGGGTATCCGAATTTCTGTTTGGATATGGCGTAGTTTGACGGAAAATTATCTGAACCCGATTTTGGCTGGATAACCCAAATACAGTATTCGGTTCAGTGGGCTTCAGATTAATGAACTCGTACAGATTGCTGCTCTGTTGGTTGTCCTTGCTAATACTTTATGTCCTGGGCTATTTTCTAGATATAAGGGGTTTTAGCAGTCGAATAGGGTTCTCGCAGTCACACATCCTGTCGATGTGCCCAGTCCCCGGTGCCCTTGTATGGCTTTGGGTCGTGTCTTGTGGCTGAGTGTCTAATCTTAATTGTGTTGCCTGCAGTGCTCCCTCTTCCCTGGTCTGTGCCTGTTTGTTTCCTTCTCCACGGTAGTTAGCTTCAGGAAGCCAAGGTTTTTTCCTGACGCTCTTCCTTCCCCAGGGCATCGGAGGTGTTTCCATCACCTAGAACTGAAGGGAAAAGCTGACCCCAGGCTGCCTCCCTCTTTCCCTCAAACGAGGGAGGAGGTAGGGCAAAAATGAGCTCATGCTAGTTTTGTGACTTTTCAATTGTTTGTTTAGATTTTAGGGAATTTTTTGGTGGTTTTCGGGACTGAGATTTAGCTTATAACCAGTAGTTGTTTGCTTTACTTTGCTGACTTTCTGGGTGATTCCCTGGTGGTGGCAGACATGAATAAATTCATAGTAATTTTATCATAAGTGCCTCTGCTCCATGCGCCTCTGTGAGTGGGCCAGGTTCTGGCTTGTGGTCCCTGGTAGGCCTAAAAGAACTCCACGACTGATGGCATCTAGTTGTTTGGAACACTTTCAGAGATAGCTTCAGGGAGCCACCGGGGCTCGCCCAGAAATTGGCATTTCATTACATTCACCGCTGATTTCATAATGAGTTACAGTATACTGTGATATGAACCTGCTAATACCTTCCTTGAGTGCCCCTAATGCAATTGAACCATAAATACCTAGTTAATTAAGTGCAGTGCTTTACAGTATATTAATTTTTATTGCACTTGTACTGCTTGTTTAGTAATTACACGTCTTTAAACTTTTCAGGTTATCGATGTAGCATGTGGTTACGGCTTCACCCTGTTTGCTGTTGATGCAAAGTCTGGAGCATCATGTTTTGGTACAGGACTTAATACCGAGTCCCAAATTGGTAAGTTATTTAAACTGATAGATTTAATATTTTCTTGTCATACTGAATTATGAAAACAGCATATGAAAAATTAATATGCTCCAACTTTCCTTATTAGCTATAAAGTACTTCATTATATTGTTCCTTTAATTTGATGTTCCATTATCTCCCATTATTGGGGACAGAAAGCCTCTTAGGCTTTGGAGGTCACCCTAGGTCACCTAACCTTGTGGTGATTCTGAGGATCAACAGCCCCACGGCCTGGTCTTTGACCAGGCCTCCAGACATGGGCTGGAAGACACAGACATGTTTTTTGTTTCCTCTCTCTTTCTCTGCACTTTCTCACCAGTGTGAACGGTTGTCAACATATTCACTTTATATCTGTCTTTCCAATGCACTTCAAGCATTTGTCACTAATTTTTTAGCCGACATTCACCTACTGAAATAGTTTTGTCAAACACTAGCAATTCCCTCCTTTGTGCCTTTGCTATGCGACACACTCCAATATTATGTTCAGACAGGAACCTAGTTACCAAGGGACTGGTACAGTATATTATTTGTCTGTATATAAAATGTGGATCTTGTTCAGTATTGGAGCCATAGGAGTTTTTGCTGCCTGATAAACCATGAGGATTGTTCTTGGGAATGTCTATGTTGTTACTGAAAAAGAAAGCCTCTTTCCCTCCATCAAGGTTTGTCAGTACACCATTGGATTGTTCGCTAACTCCAGAACTGACCAAGGAAGCCGGCTTCTTAATCATTTGTGGAGTAGTTTGGCAGTTTCAAGGTTTTGTTATTTGTGAACCCTCCAGTTGTCTAAAGGTTAGCTGACTTATTGGAGTATTATTCTGGTTTGATGGTGGATTGTCACTCAAAAAATTCAAAATTCAAATGTTTATTTAGGTAAAGTACATACATACAAGGGGTGATACAAATATTGATGAATTTATAGATAGAGCTAGTACATACAGTGCCTAAAGCCACTCGCTCCCTTTACCTCTGTGAGGGGGGCCAGGTTCTGTCTCTGGTCCCTGGTAGGTCAAACAATTTCTGCAACTGATGTGACCCTTTAGTATGAACAATCTCGGCAAGATAGCTTCAGGAAGACACCAGGATTTCTCTAGTAAGAGGAGTTTCATTACATTCAGTGATGGGTTTTTCAAGATGACAGCTATTTCAGTCACCAAGGGGTAGCATGAAGGTGCCCTGTTTACTCAATGGGACTTTTTAATCTCGTGCTTTTAATCTTTAATACATCCCCAGATGTGATGCACAGTTGATTGTTAATATGGCTCTAAAAAGTTTTAAATTTTCCTAAATGGGCACAACCTTAGAAAAAGAGTTTGTCCCAATAAGGTCATTGAACACAACTAAAACAAAATTTTATGGATGGTTTTCATATTAAGTTTGACAAGTTTTTGTTCAGTTGGAATCATCTTTGAAAAATAAGGTTTAGAAAGTGGAGCTTGGGAAATATTGGATATGTATGTGAATAATCTGCCCCTTGATGCTATCTTGATGTGCTGCTGTATCCATCATAGGACAGGTTGAACTTTAGATCTCGCTTGGAAAACTTTGCCAATAAAAGTTTTGAAGATGCCAATGTATTATCAAGGACAATCAGGACTACTCCATCATTGAAGATAAATAAATATATATGTGGATTTTTGGTGGTCCAGGAACACATTGCCCATCATATCATTACACATGTGAATCGTGTTCCGAGTTACAAACGGCTGATTTTAAAATGTCGTTTTTTGGAACTCGTTCTGTTTGTTAGTTGGGGACTTCCTTTATAGACAAACAGTTTTACTCCAATAAAGATTAATACTTTTTCTTCAGTTTGGTAAGTATATGTAATGGCTTACTAAGTAATATAATGTATTTTACTACCATGTTCAGTATTGTACATACTCCAAAAATAGTTTTGACAAGCACTATATGTCTCTTCAAATAATAATTGCCCTTCATTGTACAGTACCACTATGCATTTCTCATAAACTAACAGCTTCATTTTAATCTAATGAACTGTTACTCTTTGAGTTCCTATGTAATCCTTCTTAATAATACAAGATAATCTCTGACTTCTTGCTTTTCAGGACGCCATGAACCAAGAAAAGATCATCCTTTAGGAATATTAATTAGTCCTGCACCCATTGATGTTCCATTGAGCAATAATTCAAAAATTGTTAAGGTAAGCAAAAGAAAAAACTTTTTCTTTATGGGGCCCCTCAATATCTCCCCGAGCTAAACATTGAGAGCTGCACCAGCCCTTCAGGACTTGCCCTTGCCTTTTGGGGGGGCAGGATCAGAATCTGGCTCCCTTTATGAGGTGAGAGAAGCTTTGGGATCAAAGATTTAACCAATGATTGTTGCTATAGTGTAAACATCCCAACTATGAAGTACTTCACTGCCACTAGGTGTCGGTTCAGGTCACATGGCATCCCAGCCAGCCTCCTAACACTCCACTCGCCTGGTCACAGTTTCATAGGTCATGATATCTCTGAATGGTTTTGACTATCCCTGGAACATTAGGCAAACATCATAAAGGTAAAAATAAAAATCTGCTGTGTAAACCATGCAGTCTTCAAATTATAATATTTTAAATGCACAATGTTCAAATAATGTTCTGGAGGGGCTGAATGGGGGCTCCCCAAGCTAGCCACAATGAGGTAGCTCCATACATAAGTAACTTCAGTCCTCTTAAATTTGCCAACCCTTTGGTGCTCACAAAAATTATTATTTTGAACAAAAAAATAAAAATATTTTGACATTAATTTACATCCAGGAAGCACCAAAATTCAAGTAAAGTCTCTCTACCTCTTGTGGTTTAGCTGTAGTGGCCCAGAGAAGTTGCGTTTTTTAGGTAGAAATGAAGTAAGGCGATGCACGGGAATAACTTGGTCAATTTATGTTCATTGCTTGATTACTTTGTTTATTTAAGTTTTTCATGCTGACTGTATTGATGTGTCAGGCGGTTGTCATTATGTATGTCTTTGAAAATATACATTTGTAGAGATTTATGTATAATGGATTCTTGTGTATAATTCAGCAGTGGATCCTCTCATGGCTGAAGAGGGTTTAATTGAAAGAGGATTTTTCCAATTGTCATATTTAGTGAAGGTTGACTAAAAGAACAAAAATTTACTATAGAATGTATTATACTTACTGAAATTTACACAACGTTTTGAACTAAAAAGATTCAATTCTCAAGTGAGGGGACATCTGATTTATAATACTGGAATGTTAGGTACATAAAAAATTTAGTCAGGAAACTTGCTACTTTAGCCCAATCATTTTTATTTTTCTACATAGCCTTCTTTGCCGTTCTTTGGATAGAGTGGTGAGTTTGAGGTGCTCTGTGATTTCTTTTCTTTGCCTCTAGAGGGAATGCTGTTCATGTTCCAGTTTGCATCTTTTGATCTTTCTCTTTAGTCGTATGTGACTTGCACATTTTTCTAGTGCTACTATGCATATTTACTTAAGGTGCTGGTTTAAGTTTGCATTATCTTGCTGTCTTCCCCCCCCCCCCCCCCCCCCAGTGTATTTCTTCAGGGTCTTGGTTTATTTGTTCCCAATTAATCTGTTATTAAAACTGAATTTGCTGAATTCTCCTCCTTGGATTTGAGAATGGCTGCACAGGCATATTTCCTATGCATGTCTGAACTTCAATTAGGTTGTGATCTGAGTAACAAGTATATATAATCATTAAGTTCCTAATCAGTTCATCATTGTAAAAATAAGATCTAGGGTGTTTTCTTTTCTACTTGGTTCCATAGTAGTTGGTTCTACTATTTGTTGGCAAATCTGTCACATATCTACGAGAGGTCATTTGTGTGTGACTGTTCATTTGGACCACTTCCTGGGATTCTCTTGATATAATACAATTACACTGGATGTTGAAAAGTGTGAGATGAGTCAGAAATATTTGCCATCTTTAATTATTGCCAAACCTTTTTTAATCACCATTAATAGATAGCTTATTGCAATAAATTAGAAAGTTATGACAAGTTTTGTCATCAGGTATCTTCAGGAAGAGCGCATTCTGTGATGGTGACAGATCGAGAAGGTGTCTGGACTGTAGGAAGTAATGGTTATGGGCAGTGTGGTAGACCTATTATACCAAATGAAGATTATGGCAAACAAGCTGTTTATCATAGAATCCGAGCTCTTGATGGCGTCAAAGTGTGCCAGGTTGAATGTGGACAAGATACTAGGTAAGGCAATTTAAATTTGAACTTTTGTTTAGATAGAAATTATTTTACATACTGTACAGTATTGTAAAACACTGTTGTACATTTTAATTTTGCAGTGCACATGCAGGCATAGATAAGAATGCTTTTTATCAGACGGCTTATGAATAAACAGTACTGTACTGTATTAAAATGATTTGTAATGTATTTGTACTATATGCAGTGTCACATGTAATATTTAGTCAGGTATTTGTCAGTAACCTTTATTTCTCATTACCACACATCTTTTCTCTTCATTTGAATTTACCTAACACTGCTGTTCATTTGTCTTGACACCCTTCATTTGTCATTTGTCAATTTTTTGTCTTTTTACAATGTGGTATATGTAACTGCATTAGTTTTGTTAAACTTCAAACTGCTTCTAATCTAATGTGTAATTGTTAGGGAGGTCAATAGGGTTTGGTACTCATGTTGTTTCCACTAAAGGTAAACTGCCTCTCCATTCCATGAAAATTGGAAATATAACAGGGATGAAACTTATAAAATATAAACAATGTTGCTTGGAATAATTTAATAATACATTTTTTAGTAGAGCAATATTCTTGATGGAGGTTTTCTTTACAGCTTTTTTCTGAGTGAAGAAGGTGTGGTGTATTCTTGTGGCTGGGGAGCTGATGGCCAGACAGGTAGAGGACACTATAATAATGAGCCTAATGTTGGCCCAGTGATGGGAGATGTTGTTGGAGAAAAGATTGTCAAAATATCATGTAGAGCTGACTGTGCTCTAGCATTAAGCGGTAAGTTATCATACACATTGAGTATAATAATTCTTTTTTAGTATACTCAGAGTGAGTTCTGGTGGCTTATTATATTCATAGACATTTTGAGATAGACTTCACTTTTTTCCAGTGCCTCCCAAGTACTGTAATTACTAGCTCGCTTCGCCAGTGCTTACTTGCAACAGAGCCTTGAAGAGGAGGCTGTCCTAATGAGGAAAGCAACATAAAAAAAAAAAGATGACCTGGACTGACCCATTGGATCAGCACAAATGTAAAAGTCGGAGGGCAGAAAAAATTAGGTCCTGGGTAACCCCAAGATGAAGCCTAGAACTATCAGTTTAGCAGAGCAATACTGGCAATCTCTTTAAAGTCAAGTATTGCTTGAAGAAGGTATTTTCAGTAGTTAAATGGGCCTTATTATAGTCATTTCAGGCTAGATTGGGAACTGAATTCTCTGATGTTTCCCTCCTATTCATGGAGCGGCTGAAGCACCTTGACAAGATCACCTTGCATCAGGGATGGGGAGATTGGACTGATGAGGCTAAATTTAGCTTCGGTATTTTCTTGCATAACAGAGCGACCAATTGTCTCACTTAAAATAAATATTTTGATATACTCTCAAAGCTTTGTTTTTCTTTATCAATACTGTATATTAAAACTTTCAGATAAAGGTGAAGTGTTTGGTTGGGGCAATTCAGAATACCACCAGCTAAATTCGGTGACAGATGAAATGCAAATTCATACAGCAAAGAAGCTTCAGTTTCCAGATATAAGGAAAGTAGTGGACGTGGCATCTGCAGGAACTATGTGCATGTTTATTAATGGTGAGTTACATTTACCTATAAAGTGGGGCTGTTGTCATGAGTTGATTCACAGGGTAATGCAGCTAACGTCATACTTTGATATAAACTTTGGGTTTTACATCAATGCTGTTAATATGGATATAATAGCTCTATATAGATGTAGTGATATTTACCTTCACCTGTGAAAAATATTCCTGTTATCATTTCATTATTACTTAAGTCCTGTATACTTATAGGATGAGAGCTCTGCTTGTGGTGTCCTATCTTCCCAGCACTGTCATATAATGATTTGAACCTACTGATGGTTTTAGCCTCCATAGTTATTCTCACTTGTTCCAATTGTCTACCACCGTTTGTGAAAGTGAATTTCCTTATATTTCTTTGGTAGCTTTCTTTAGTTAGCTTAAATCTATGACCTCTTGTTCTTGAAGTCTCAGGAATTCTTCCCTATAAATTTTATCGATTCCCATTACTATTTTGTATGTAGAAATTTTTTCAGCCATGTTAGAAGCTTCCCTGTCACTCCTCCAGTATGTTCCAGTTTCTAGAACAACCTCTTATGTGCAACTCTGTCAAAAGCCTTTTTTAGGTCCAGATAAATACAGTCAACCCAACCATCTCTTTCCTGTAAAATCTCTGTGACTCTATCATAGAAACTAAGTAAATTGGCTACACAGAATCTAACCTCAAGATGATAACCCTCTCTGTTCTTCCCTAGATCTTACCTGGAGAGGGTCTCAGGAATTCTTCTAATCCCAGAGCCCGGCCTGAGGCCAGGCTCGACTTGTGATAACTTGGTCAAACAGGTTATTGCTTTCAGTACCCCTTTGCTCTGGGCCCAATGTGGTATTTTGTGTTAGTGGCTATTCCTTACATGTTTGTGCAGCATTGGGCAGGAGTTAAGAGTGCCTGAAGCTGCATATGCTCTGAGTTATCTTCCCTGTGCACTCCATAGTGTTTCTCTTGCTCTGCCAGGACCATCTTCCCTGGAATGTTCAGGAAACACTCCTTTCAAAGACACCGGGTAAGTCCGGTGTCTTTGGCTTCTGTCTTTCTCCAGGTTGGAGCATCTTGGCTGGTGGGACACACTGGTTACACATGTGTTGCACTTCAGCTGGTTGAGGTTGGCCTTCCCATCTGCCTCAACTAGGTTGTGTTGGTTTACATGGCACTTTCTGAGAGTACTGTTGTAGCATCTCAGTGCCTGGCTGCCCTGTTGGGTTGTTCCCTGCAGCCCTCAGAAATTCCCCGCGGGTTTGGAGGTCATGGATCCCATACTGAACCCATTCTCGCTTCGTGTGAGTTCAAGGGTTGCACGTTGTCAGTGCCACGTGGCGATGTTCATGCTGCCATTTGTGTCAGTGACACCTTCAACTCGTCATGTAGGGTGTGCTCCCAGTATGTTTCTATTATCACTAGCCCTCCTGCTGAAGTTCAGACTTATCTAGTAGTGACAGCTTTCTGTCTTTGGTTTTCAGTCTTGCAATAGTCTAGGTTGTGTGCCAGGTTGGATGCTATGGAATTGCCTCGCATGGTTTTTTTAGTGACCTGGAATTGGAGGTGTTGATCAATTCTATCTTCACTCCATTTGTGCCTCCTCTTCCCTCTCCTCTTTCCACCTGCTTACAGCCCTGAAGCATCGGAGGGTTTCGGGGTTGGGGCAGGGCTTAGCTTAGGATGTGGCTTGGTCTGTTCCGGTGGTTACCCCTTCTGATTCGGGCATAGAGGCAGTTGAGCCTCTTGTCAGCTTAGATAGCTATTTATTTTATATGCAGGACTACAACATATTTAATTGTATTAATATTTTTATATTAATTTTGCAGAAGATGGACAAGTGTATAGTTGGGGTTTTGGCCCTCTTGGCAAAGGACCAAAAGTATCATATTCCAAGACTCCTACTCCAATTCCTTTAAGCTTGTTTGGACACAATGAAATTACACCTGATGCTAAGGTATAGTAATTTGCCTCTGAATATGGCTGCCTATAAGTGTTTTTACCATGGTCATTATAACATAATTTATAAGTTGTGGCTTCATGTAAATTGCTGTATTATTGTAGTGATGTTGTTTTATTTTATATTCAATCCATTTATTTCTTACTATTTGAAAGAATAGTATTCATTCTATTGAATATATTTTGATTCATTCTTTCAAAAAAAAATTTCTTTTCAAATTTAAAAACATCTTTGGTATCATATAATGCGATGCTCTGTTTTCTGGGAGTAACCCCTTGTAGCACAGGGAGTTACTCCCAGAAAACAGAGCAGTCCAATCAGGACAGGAAACACTGCAGGGGTGAGGTTAGCCTGTACATCAAAGACACTTATCTCCACCAAACTGCTAAACACCACAAATGATATGGCAGAAGTGCAGATAATTGAAGTGTTTGTTGGTTTCTCTCTATGTATACTTGCTTCTTGAGGTTATCTTGAGATGATTTCAGGGATTAGTGTCCCTGTGGCCCGGTCCTCAACCAGGCCTCCATCCCCAGGAAGCAGCCTGTAGCAGCTGTCTAACTCCCAGGTACCTATTTACTGCTAGGTAATAGGGGCATCAGGGTGAAACAAACATTTTGCCCATTTGTCTCCACCTCCGCTGGGAATCGAACCTGGAACCTCAGGACTATGAATCCGAAGCGCTGTCCACCCAGCTGTCAGGCGCCTTTGGGCTCCTGACAGCTGGGTGGACAGTTGACTCCTGCTGGTTTGGGATACCAGTAAGCCTGCATGTAAGCTAGCCAGGGTTCTGGTTCTTTTCCTTTCTGCCATGTTCAGGTTCCTGGTGTGTTGGTGGAAATCCCAGTTGCTTCTGTTCCAGGTTTGGTCCTAGTGGGCCTCATTTGGGATCTTGGTCAGCATCTCTCCCTTCCTCCTGTTGCTCTGCTCTGAAAGCTGTGTTGTCATTGTCTTGTGTCGGATCGGTTTCGGGCGACTCGATGAGCAGAAGCCTAGTATGGTGTTTCACCTGGGCTGGATTTCACCCAGGGTACTGGGTTGGTTCTTCCAGTTGCTCCTTTTTGTTGCTGCTGGGACCATCAGGTTTGGGCCCTGCTTGCCCTTCATCTTCTGCTATTACTTCTCTGCCGTCTCCTGTGAGGGTGGTGATAATATTCCTCTGCTCTCTGCGCCTCTGTGGGGTGGCCAGTTTCTGGCTTGGGTCCACAGTAAGGAAACAGCACTCCTCCAACTTATGAGATGTAGTAGCAAGGAACTATCTTAGCAAGATAAGGAGCCACTGAGGCTCTACCAGAAAGGCATTTTTAATGCTGATTTCATTGCATGTAATCTGGATTTATATAATTTCTTCTAGATCAAATGTTTTGGGGATAATTTGATATAACGTGTCTGATTATTCCAGGCCATCAACTGATGTATTGTTTTTTCCTGTAGTAATTAGAGTTTATAATGTGTTATCTTACCTTAGTTTAATATAATGTGTTATCTTACTTTAGTTTAATTTCCAGGTGGTGAGCATAAATTGTGGAATCAACCACTTTGCAGCAGTAAACAACCATGGCTCTTTATTCACCTGGGGCAAGAATCCTGGAGGCTGCTTGGGTCTTGGCCACATAAAGGACCATTATTTTCCATTAAGGGTAAGTGATAGAATATGTAGTAGCATTTTTCTAGTACAGTACTGGATATTGTGATTATACCAGGCTCATGATTACTATAGTAAGTTGTGTATTCCTGATTAACCAAATCAACAGTAATGCCAGGTGTTTGTTAAAAGTGAAAATCTGGTGAACTAAAGAAAGGGCTATCTTGAGATGATTTTGGGGCTTTAGTATCCTTGCGGCCCGGCCATCGACCAGCCCTCCACCCCCAGGAAGCAGCCCGTGACAGCTGACTATCACCCAGGTACCTATTTTACTGCTAGGTAACAGGGGCATAGGGTGAAAGAAACTCTGCCCTTTGTTTCTTGCCAGCGCCCGGGATCGAACCCGGGACCACAGGATCACAAGTCCAGCGTGCTGTTCGCTCGGCCGACCGGCTCCCTTAAGGCTCCCTGAAGATATTATGCTGATATAGTGTCAAACTACTAGGGGCTATTAGTCACAGATCTTTTAAACCTAACGCAGATCACAAGCCAGAACCTGGCCCCCACCTCAAGAGAGGTGCAGGGAGCAGTGGCACTATGATAAAGTTTCTATGAATATAATCATTTCCACCACACTAGGGAAACACCCAGATAGTCAGCAAAACAAAACATACCACTGCCAATTATAAACTAGTCTGCAGTCTCAAAAATGGCCAAAAGAACTCCTCAACAATGTAAACAATCAAAAATTTTAAACTACTGCAAGCTCATTTGCATCACCTTCCTTCCCCTTTGTTTTGGGGGAGGAGGGAGGTAGACTGGGTCAGCCGTTTGCTCCACCCTCAGTTCATTGCTGATGGTAGATGTTTGAGGTGCCCCCTGTCACTCTAGCTCCAGTGTCCTGCTGTTCAGCTAAGTGGGGTTTTCCCTTAGTGGCTTTTTCTGTGCCCCTTGATGCAGTGTGAGCCAGGAGTTGAGTGCTTGGGTCTGCATGTGCTCAGGGTTCTCTTCCCTGGATGTTCCTTTAGTGTGATACATTGTCTCACACCAGGGGAGATTCTCTTTGTTCCCTGTCTCTTTGAAGCTTGACTCTACATGTAGTTCATCTTCTGGCTTCTCAGGCCATTCTTGTCCAGGTAGTGTCCAACTTTTGGGCCAGAGATCTTCTCAGCTCTGTCCTGTCTCTATGGGGTGGATTGTCAATGCCGATTTCTTCCATGGGTTTGCCAGTGTTCAGATGGTCGGACTTGGACCTCTTCACGTTGTCTTAGTCTCGGTGTATTCCTCTGTATGTGGTGCCATTCTCCGACTGCAAGGCCCTCACAGTAGATGCTTTCTGGCTGATGTGGGTGGTGTGGGAGTTCCTGTACCATTTCCCTGTATCTGAAGAGGGTGTAGATGAGTGGCTGGATGTTGAAGTTCCTACCAAACCTTCCTTAACTGACCCAAAGATTATTGATTTGATAACAGAATATGGGAGTCAAGAAGAGAGCATGAAAATGAAACAGATGAGTTGTATAATGCCAGTATGGTGGAGGTCAAGAAATCATTTATAAATATTATATTCTTTATTGAGTTCAGAAGTGAATGTAGATATAACTGATATAACTAGATATGATTATATATAACTGAGTGCAATAACTAAGAAATTAGTTCTCTCCTGTGGGCAGATTTGTGTTCATGTAATAAAGAATATAGCAAGATCTTGATCTGAGAAGCTTGGAGTGATATCAGTGCTGTCTGTCCCCCAGTGGTGGTGGCAGATTTGGCCAGGTTAGCAATCAAGCAGTTGTGAAGCCTCACCTATTCACTTGTAAAGTCGGGTGAGGAGGCATTGTTTCGAGTCTTTACGGATCTGGTCCATCTGTTGGATTGAGCTTCTCTCAGGTGCCTCCCTAACACCTTTGATGACCCTTCAGGAATATTATAAAAAAAGGATCTGTACCATCCATCTGTGCCTGAATGTTATCCAGTCTTAAATGTTCAGGATTCCTATCTGTCACAGTGGATTTTTTCCTTAGAAAGCAACCAAATAGCAATGCTCATAAAGGTGCTTTTCATATTAACTTAATGCCTACTGTATACTTTGTGTACTTTTCAGGTTTCCATTGGTGGAGAAGTTGTGAAAGTTAGATGTGGTGTTGATCACACTGTCGCCTTGGTCAAGGAACTCATCTAAGGACAAATTAACTTAATAAAACTTAATTTTTCCTGTCATTCAAAATAATTATAAGCAGATCTTAATTGCTATCAATAACCATCATTATCTTGTGCACCAAATAAATATTTGGAAATGTCTAGTGCAAAAGATGATAAACCACCAGATTGAGGAGAGCATACCAAGATGGCTTAGGAGGATGTTGATCTCATGAGTGGTGAGGGAAGTGTATTCGAGTGAATATGAGAGAAGGAAGAGAGAAAGGCCAAGGTGATGATGGAAAGAGATGGTGAGTAAAGAAGCAAGAATTTCATATGAACATGCCACTAGATATGGTAAGGGACAAGGCTGTGTGGAAGAAGTTTGTAGAGAAGGAGTTGATATGATTGTTTATACTGTCTTATGACAATTGATGAGGAACATTGTTCACTTGGCTCATGCTTTCTTCTTGTGATCCCAAGAGATGTGAATACATTTAGGGAGAGGTCACGCAAAATATGTGGCAAGCAGAAGAAGTATGAAAAAGTTGTTTATTTGAGGTCAGAGATGAGACACAAAACACTTATCAAATCCTTGAAACTCTGCATTTTATGAATGTAGCAGCTACATCCTCATATGTAGTGCTACCATTCCAACGCTTCCTAGGACTGAGGTGCTTCTCCTCGACCAATCGGCAAGCAGTGATCAGCAACTGGCATGTATATAAGGCTGAGTCCAGCCTAGCAGAGTATCACCACAGATCCATCGCATTTCAGCCTAGAGTAACATCTCTGCTCACCTGTCTTGACCTTGCCATAAGACGGGACACCACGAGCGTAGCTCTCATCCTGTAACTACACTTAGGTAATTACACAGCTCTGATATCTTATGTCTGTGTAAGCGATGTAGAGAATCTTGGGCTCGTGAAGCTAAATATTCTCTAAGTAAATGTTATTCTTCCGAAACTGGAATAAAATGATTGGCGAGTCAGGTGCCTTTGATATCGCTCGACTTATATCCCTATATTGGCATAGTTCCTTTTGAATATCTAAAGTGCTGTGTTCTGTTCCTGGCTTGGTGCCTTTGATAATTTCTAACCCTCTGATGGATGGAGTGGGACTGGTAAATTCCTGTCAGGTAGTCAAGATTACCTACAGGCATACCTTGTCCCCGTACAGGCAACTTTGTTACTCTTACCGATTATTTGTATACTCTAGTATAAATTGTGCCGACAAATTCGGCGGTTCCATGTGTTTAAACCTTATTGGGTGAAGTCACTTGCCTCCCTTTTATGCATTACAGTGGACCTTTAATTCCATGTAAAATATTGAAGGTGGAGGACAAGTAATTATCAAAAGGCACCAAACCGGGAAGGCTATTTAGCAAGGTGGAGGACAACATCAGACCTGTGTATCAAAATTACGATCTTTATCAACTTATTTGTATTTTTTTATATAATCTTTCCCATTCTTTGATATAGAAGTTCAGATGGATAGACCAGTAAATGACAATAGGAATAGTTTAAATAATCACTAAAGATTTCTTACATTTCCTTGTCCTACCGCCTCGTATTTATCTAAAGGAGAAAATACAATGACTTCAGGTCCTTTGTGGCAAGTTGTGTAGATACGATGCATTAAGAGGAGACCTGCTAAGGTATTCAAAAAGCCTAGCTAGTTTAAAATTTTAATATTTTTCACAACTTCACAATTTGGGAGGCCATTATCTAGAGAAAAAATATCAGAGGCTGGTCTCAGACGAGAGACTTTACGTGGTGACAGGCAATGTCGTGCCTGTTTATGCCGTCTTTATAGATGTTCTTCAGCACCGAGACTGTCCGTCGCCTTCCCTGCTTTCTGGCTGTGGTCACCGCGCCTGGGGACGGGAAGAATGTTATCAGAATTATATTAAAATAAAAATAAAGTCTTACAAGATTAACTTTCAGACCTCTTTACTCCCGTTGAAAACCTTAAGAGTAACCTGCACTCAAGACAATCTACCCAATTGAGCTGTTTGACATTAATAAATTAAAAATAAAACAAGCCATACTGACCCTCTAGTGAAGTACCAGTTGGTGTAGAACAGTGTACACGGATGACTACCTCCAGGTCGTTGTCCACATGAACTGGATCCCACCTAGAAAAATATTTATAATTTTAGAAAAATTCTTGGCTATTTAGTAAGTCTCAGTCCAGCAGGATGACCATATATACATATATAATGTAATACAAGTTTAATGTACATGTATTTCAATAACTTAAGACACTAACAAGTAAACTCACCTTTGGCGATAACCAAGTTTTCCTTATCCTTGTCTTTTAATAACTAGTTAGAAGCCTCTGCCAAGACGTTGCCGTAAGAGTGCGCTTGATCCCAGCTGTAGGTATTATTCACGCCCCATGAGAAATGGTAGTTACCAGCCCTCGTTTCATGTATCTGAAACATTTTACAATTAGTCTAAATTTACTCAAAGGGGGCAAAATAAGCCATGTAGAGGATTCTAAACCTGTATCTTGGGTACTGTAATCACATGTCAGCCTTGATCTATGGGATTTGAGAGTTTAACCAAATCAAACTAGAACATTTTGCTTATGTTACCGGGTATTCCATAGGATGGAGTATCTAGTTTGCTGTGGCCTTTAAAGGCTTAAGAGGCAACAAGCTGGGGTTGTGGTCGAGGCTGGAGTGATGCCAAGGGGAAAATTGAAGCTGGGGTACCTTAAATGCAGGAAGGGGTGGGAAAGACGAGGATGCCGTATGAAGAAAACTGACGCAATTTGGAACTGGGAAAAACTAGTGAACACAGTTAGTGTCTTGAGAACTGTAGAGAAGTTTTCCCCTGAAGGACTTGGGAAGGGAGATTAGGAAACTGGTGCAGACAACCGATTTTGCTCAGGATACGTTATCTCTAGCCTGCTGAATTAAAGTAGTCATGGTAAGAACAAAGGTAACTGCAGAAGGCCTATTGGCCCATACGAGGCAGCTGTTTACAAGAAAAAAATTACTAAAACGTTATGTTTTGAATTCAAAGTTTTGACTAGTAAACCCTATTGTACACGTACAGAAATTTTTACTATATATTTAACCGAATTAAGGTTGAAGGGCAGACGTTAAGAGTTAGCCTCTCGCATGATACAAGTGGGGTAGAAGAACGCCACAAGCCAATTTGGGTCGGCTATAGTGCCACACGCAGCATTATGCGCACTTAACCTTCGATTCGGCAAGTTAAATCTGAAATAACGGTAGTTTCCCCCATACACTACACTAGTTCCAAAACGGCGAAATCAGGGGAAAGGGGGAGGAAGACGCAACAAAGGGAGGAGCAGGGGACGCAACAAAGGGGGAGGGGGGGGGGGAGCAGGCGACTCAACAAAGGAGGAGGGGGGGGAGCAGGCGACGCAACAAAGGAGGAGGGGGGGGGAGCAGGCGACGCAACAAAGGAGGAGGGGGGTGGAGCAGGCGACTCAACAAAGGAGGAGGGGGGGGAGCAGGCGACTCAACAAAGGAGGAGGGGGGGGAGCAGGCGACTCAACAAAGGAGGAGGGGGGGGGAGAAGGCGACTCAACAAAGGAGGAGGGGGGGGGGAGAAGGCGACTCAACAAAGGAGGAGGGGGGGGGAGAAGGCGACTCAACAAAGGAGGAGGGGGGGGAGCAGGCGACGCAACAAAGGAGGAGGGGGGGGGAGCAGGCGACGCAACAAAGGAGGAGGGGGGTGGAGCAGGCGACTCAACAAAGGAGGAGGGGGGGGGGAGCAGGCGACTCAACAAAGGAGGAGGGGGGGGGAGAAGGCGACTCAACAAAGGAGGAGGGGGGGGAGCAGGCGACTCAACAGAGGAGGAGGGGGGGGGAGCAGGCGACGCAACAAAGGAGGAGGGGGGGGGAGCAGGCGACGCAACAAAGGGGGAGGGGGGGGAGCAGGCGAAGCAACAAAGGAGGAGGGGGGGAGCAGGCGACTCAACAAAGGAGGAGGGGGGGGGAGCAGGCGACGCAACAAAGGAGGAGGGTGGGGGGAGAAGGCGACTCAACAAAGGAGGAGGGGGGGGGAGAAGGCGACTCAACAAAGGAGGAGGGGGGGGAGAAGGCGACTCAACAAAGGAGGAGGGGGGGGGAGCAGGCGACTCAACAGAGGAGGAGGGGGGGGGAGCAGGCGACGCAACAAAGGAGGAGGGGGGGGAGCAGGCGACTCAACAGAGGAGGGGGGGGAGCAGGCGACTCAACAAAGGAGGGGGGGAGCAGGCGACGCAACAAAGGAGGAGGGGGGGAGCAGGCGACTCAACAAAGGAGGGGGGGAGCAGGCGACTCAACAAAGGAGGAGGGGGGGGGGGGGAGCAGGCGACGCAACAAAGGGGCAGGGGGGGAGCAGGCGACGCAACAAAGGGGGAGGGGGGGGGGAGCAGGCGACGCAACAAAGGGGGGAGGGGGGATTCTCACCATACAGCTCACCCTCAGGAGACGAAGCTGGAACTGTATACCAAAAGTGAGGTAAAACACACTGAAGTGCTTTTTGTCACAGCGTCCCTTTTATATCCAGCAGCCAACCCACCCCGGCCGCTGATTGGTTGATGAACAAATTATTCAAGATATATTGTTGCTTAGAGGTCATATTAAGTTATGTTTGGATAGGTTAGGTTATGTTTAGGTTTATGGTTAGGTTTATTATACAGTCTCCGTGGTGTAGTGGTAAGACACTCGCCTGGCGTTCCGCGAGCGCTATGTCATGGGTTCGTATCCTGGCCGGGGAGGATTTACTGGGCGCAATTCCTTAACTGTAGCCTCTGTTTAACGCAACAGTAAAATGTGTACTTGGATGAAAAAACGATTCTTCGCGGCAGGGGATCGTATTCCAGGGACCATAGGATTAAGGACTTGCCCGAAACGCTACGCGTACTAGTGGCTGTACAAGAATGTAACAACTCTTGTATATATCTCAAAAAAAAAAAAAAAAAAAAAAAAAAAAAAAAAAAAAAAAAAAAATGTTATGTTTGGGTAGTTGGTTAGGTTAGGTAGGTACAGAAGGCTGACATGCCAGCAAACACACTCCTGGCGACCATATATCTTGGATAAGTCGCGCCACAACACTGTCGCTTGGACTGGCGACTTCCTATGGCGTCACCTGCTGCACATTTACTTGTAATTTCCTTATGAAATTAGAATATTTCAAAGTAAAAATAGGTTTGATCATGTTCTGCATTCAACACCAACATTATAGTGTGTAAATATACTATATTTCTTCATTACTTATGTAATGCTAGTAGGATTTGGGTAATTCTATGAATTGGTGGACAACCCTTGAGGGCTCCGTCTAATACCCAAAGCTACCCAAACTTTCTCAAACCTACACAAAGCTTCCTAGCATTACATTAGTAATGAATAAATATGATTATATTTATTCATTATAATATTGGTGCTGAATGTAGATCATGAAAAACATATTTTTACGCTGAAAAAGTATCATTTTATAACGAAATTAGACCTCTCCAACTATAGGCAGTTCAGTTGTGTGTGTGTAAGCATGATAACTGGAGGCCAAGAAAATGCAGCCAGCATTTTGACGGATGCTGACATTGTTTAGCTTTGCCATGCTTAAGATGATCTACTCTAAAAGCTACAAAAGTATTTATATGAAAATACTATACAATCTACCTCTACTCAATTGAAATGCAAACATTTTATAGGCACAATGCCTCTGTTTCAAGCCATATAAATTAAATTTTACAAATGCTCCATTAACTTGGAAAGAAATGAAAATTAGGGATTGTGATAAGAGATTGTCACTACACATGAATAGTAACAATTCATGTGACAATTGTGATCATATGAAAATGGGTGAACCTGCCCCATCCCATTTAAATAGAAATAGGGTAAAAGTTGATAGGTACATAATTACATGAGCAAATTTTATCTTATAATAAGCAGGACACAAACCAAGGTTTCAAGATAAAAAAAGGCAGAGAAATCCCCTCAACACCACAGTGCAATGTGTATAATACTATTGGCAAACCATTCGAAACTTTATATTAAGCAATGCAAAATTAGAAATCTAATACAAATTTATTATCATCAAGGTTTCTAGTGATGGAAAAACTGTGTACCATTTTAAAATTTTAATTAGATAA